GTGAAATATCTACCTCTGGCACCACCTAGGGGAGTTGGCACTAAGTAGCTCAATATATGGTCTGGAGCTTAGGAGACAGGTTCAGGAATACTCATATATTCATACATGAATAGTTGGTTGAAACAACAAGAAATATGAGCCTGCCTATTAGGAATATATAGAATGTGAAGGAACGAAGGGAAAAAAAGAAACTTTTAAAAGTACTGATAAGTTGTGGAGGTAAGCAGAGAACCAGGACAGTAGAATACCAGAGATTTCTAGAATTAGCCATAGGTTGGTATAAAAGACTCAGAGAGATCGAATAAATACTGATGGGTAAACAGAAGGCCTTTGGGTGACTTAAGAACTGTTTCAGTGGAGTAATGAGTGCATGGTAGAAATGCATTTTCCAGGAAGCCTGGCTATGAAGGGAAGGAGAAAGGAAGAAAGGATGAAAGAAAGAAAAAAAAAGGGAAGAAAAATAGCAGCTCTCAAACTATGTACCCTTTACACGCTTAAAAATTGCTGTGGACTCCAAAGAGCTTTTGTTTATGTTGGTTATATTGCCAATATTTACCATATTAGAAACTGACACTGAGAAATTGAAAAATAACTTATTCATTAATTCATTTTAAATAATAATAAATGTACTACATGTTAGCATACATATTTTAATAAAAACTATATTTCCCCCCAAAATATGAGTGAATTTTTTTTACAGTTTTGCAAATCTCTTTAATTTTTAGCTTAATAGAAGACAGCTGGATTCTAATATCTGCTTCTGCATTCAGCCTGCGGCAATGTATCATTTGGGTTAATGTATATGAAGAAAGTCCAGGTTCACACAGACATACAGTTGGAAAGGGAGCAGTATTTTAACAGCCATTTCACAAAGTAGTATTTTTCTTTGACGCTATACTAAAACTTGATAAGTGACAATTTCCTGAAAGTTAGCTGCAGTGTGGAATCTGAAACCATATCAATGAACTTTGTCACATTAAAATCCATTGCACTCTGAATGAATCTTTTACCCATGTGTGATTTTGACCTTACGAACCTCTTGAAAGAGACTCAGAGACCCCAACCACCCTCTGGGAACTGCTGGTTTAAGGTTTGTTTTAAGACAAAACTTGGTTGAAGATATGAAATGGATAGTAAACAGAGGTGAAGGGGTCAACCCTGAATAGAAGAAAACCTCTTCTTCTGAATCTAACAGGAGAGAAGCAGAGGTTTGGATACAGATATATTTGAAGCAAGAGGGAGAATTCCTATACAATGTTATTTTCTCTGTGAAGCAGGAGGTGAGGTCATCCAGGGCTAGGTTAAGAATCGCTCAAGCACCTTGAGGGCCACCTGGTAAATGCCTACCATTCCTTCGAGCTCAACACAAAAGGCACTATTGGCTTTTCCTGACAGTCATCTCTTTTGCTCCAAACTGTCACCTGGTTATTCTTCTATTATAACAATTATCATATTTTATTATTTATTGGTCTGCCTTCTCTCCTAGATGGTGTGCTCTCCTGGACCCAACCAAATTCAGCTTTAGCAGCTGCTCAGAATATTTGTGCTGAATGCTAAAAGGCTGATTTTTTAAATTAAGAAATCACATCTGCCTATAGATTTTACAGTTGCTACATTCACACTACTTTTTCTTATTTACTTATATTTCTCTCCATTGTTAAGAAGTACAGTGTGACTGACAAAGCTAGTAAAGGTAGAACTGCTTAGTAATCCTAAAAGCTAGAGCTAAAATACAAAGAATTGAGAATAAGAGCAGTCTATCTGAAGACCAGGGATAAATTCTGTAACTCTCCTGCATCCAGATTTCTAACAAAGGTGATAGCGTAGGGATGCCAGAAAAGGAAGGCCTTCTAACAACTCCTTATATTTAAGTCTGGAAGTTCTAAACTTCAGAATTTAAAATGTTACTTAAAACATACATCCATCTATCACCACCAACACATATTTGGAAGAACATACACCAAAATATTAACCGTGGTTATCGCCTGATGGTGATTTATATGGAGGTTTTGTTTTCATTTACTTTTCTGCATTTTCTATAATGAAAATAAATGATATGTGCAGAAAAAAATTGAAAAGTGTTGCCTCTTTCAAAGTATTCAAGATTTTACTTTAGTACATTTAGGATTAATAGAAGTGGAACAGGATATACTGCTTACAAATAAATAAATATATTCATGACTATTTTCTCATACCATTAATTCTCATGGTAAAGAAAAACCATTCACATTTTCACACTAGACAACTCAGCCAAGAATATGAGGTAAGGTGATCATTGATAAATAATACTAAAACGAGTATCTGCTTGTGGAACCCAGTGCCTTCCCACCTGCATGCACATTCTCAAACAAAGTACAGTTCAAAATAGAAATTCAAAAAATTCTGATGAGGTGCATTAATAAAGTTTTAAGATTGTGTTTCACTAACAGTCTGATCAGAAGAAGAGAGTGTAGAGGGGTGTATGGAAGATGGACTTTGAGGTTGCCTGGGCCTGAGTTCTGATGTAGCTCTTCCACAAGCCAACTGTGACCAGGGTCAATAACTCAGTTTCTCTGGACTTCGGTTTCTTCATCTGAAAAACAGAGATGGTCTTACCTAAGAGTTGCTGTATAGATTTTAAATTAACAAATGCCTAATGCTATCAATAATAAGTGATCAAAGAAAATGTAGCAATGACTATTGTATGGCAGAAGTTATTCTTATGTCACATTTAAAAAAAAAGAAATGTGCAGAATTATATTTAAGCTCAATTTTCAGAATAGCAGTGAAGGACAACTGAAAGAATGGAACTAAGAGGTCTGAGAACATAGCTAAGCTTTTCATGGTGAGTGTTATTTTATCAAGCATAGTATCTTTAAAATGCTTATAACCTTCCTAAAATACATCATCTACGCATGCTTTCTTAAGCAAAATATTCTAGATATTTTTGGACAACTCAATATCATCATTAAGAACAAAATCTCATGATACCTTCTAGACCTAAATAAATTATATAGGGCTGCCCTTCTTAAATAGGATATGTGCTGGTATTCCATAAGTTAAACATCACATACTATTCTCAAACATTGATTTATCTCAATGGTAAGTATTTAAACATTTTGGATATATTTTTTAAAAGCCAAAATATTATACATTCATCAAATATTTACTGAGTCTCTAGTTTGTGCTGGATATTGATCCAGGTCCCTGGAGATAAAGCATAAGTTAAGTAAGAAAAAAAAACTGAATTCATGGATCTTATATTCTAATAGAGAAAGACAGGTAATAAGCATTTGCTTTATAGTGCATTAGATGGTGCCAAGTGGAATGGAAAAAAAATAAACTGAGAAAGGGTTTTAATTTTAAATAGGGTGGTCAAAGTAGCCCTCAATAAGAAGGTGCCGTTTGATTAAAGGTTTGAAGGAATGAGAAAGCTAGCCACTGGGATATCTGTGGGAAAGGTTTCTGGGCAAAAGAAATCGTAAATGCAAGGGTCTGGAGTGAGTCCACTGAAAAACAGCAAGGAGACAGTAAGACTGGAGAAGAAAGGGCAGGAAAGTAGAATAGATGAGAGAGGTAATGGGGCCAGGTCTCCTCGGGCCCTTATAGCCTTTGGATTGACTTTATCTTCTGAGGGAGATGAAAGGACAGTGGAGGTTTTGAGAAGAGGAGAGACACACTCTATACTCATGTCTTAAAAGGACACTGGGGACTGCTGCTGAGAATAAAGGATATTAAAGTAAGGGCAGAGAAGCAGGAAGAGACCAATTAGTTCAGTACATCAATAATCCAGGTGGAGGCGCTGGAGGCTTGGATCGGAGAGGTAGCAAAGAAGGTAGAAGTCCTAGGATGATGGATATTTTCTGAGGTAAAGCACACAGGATCCTGTGTGCTGATGTGAAGGGTGAGAAGATGGCACCTTTACTGAGATGGAGAAGCCTGTGGCAGGAGCGAGTTTAGCCTGGAAGCTCAGGAGCTCTGTTTGGACAGGTCGGAAGCAAACTTCAAATGAATGTTTAGTGTGCAAACAGAAGAATTAAGGAAATCTGAACTTTCTGACATATCTCTTCAAGGATTACCCCCAGAAAGGAAAAGGGCAATTCTGAATATTCTCCGCTTAGGGCTCCTTGGGCAGACACGTTTTTGAGGCACTAAGAGAGCCATTTGTTCCCATTCTAAATGGCTAAAATGCTTTCTGAGGTCTGCTTTTCAGCCCTTCGTTCCCTCTCTTATTTCCAGGCTGTCTGTACACTTTTCCCATCTGATAAGATACTGACAACCCCGCTCCACTTTCCAAGTTCCTGGAAGCCTGACAGACAAGCTAATTAGAATCTTGCCGGGGCTTCGGAATGCTTTCCACGCGGCGAGCATCTCCGCCGTGTGCTGGTCTTACTTCCTGGTTCTCAGGAAAAGATATTTCATTTCGTAAACGGGTTCTCGGAACACACCGCCCGGGAGTTGAGAAATTCCAGGCACGGTCTGACCGAGCCACCAGGTGACGTCTCTTCTCGCTCCACGGTCCTCCACAGGTACCACTAACTTTCTGATCCCCAGGGAGCCACCCACGTCTTCATCCTGGAGCAATTGCTGCCCACGCAACCTACTTCCTCTCTACCTTTTCTCACTTGGGCTGAAGATAGGCGATTTTCCTTCCGAACCGTCCCTCCACAACCCTGGGGCAGAGGGGCCGAGGCCTGGACGCGGACCTCGGACACCTCGCTGAGAAGGTGGCGCGCACGGCCGGAATCCCTTACCTGCCCAGGCGCGGGGAGTGCGGGGCGGGCGGGGCGCCTCGGGGCTGAGCCAGCGGTCGAGGAACCCGGGCCCTAGGGACGGCTGGGGCAGGCACAACCCGTCAGGCCCCGCCCATGACCGTCCCGTCCCCACCCGCGTCCCGCCCTCTTCCTCTTTGTGCCTCCAGGCGGCTCCACAGCGTGAGAAATTACGGGCCTCTTTTAAAGCTCTTCTTTAAGTGGGAGCCTGGCCCTTTAAATAGTGCGTGTCGGGAGGCTATTTTAAAGCTTCCGGTCATGCGCACAGCGTAGTGCAGAGGAATACCTTCAACTGGACGTGAGGTAGGCCGGGTTGAGTTTCTTGCGCCAAGTGGGGCTTGTGTATGGGTCGATGACAAGATAGGCATTGGGACCCTGCCCCTTTGTCCCCAAGAGGAGGGCGACCTGAGCTAGTATCGCGCCTTGGGGTAGGCGGGGCTGGGGGAGGAGAAGAAGCCGGTGGAGCTGCTGGCTGTGTCCGGGCTACTTTTGAATGCGCCGGAAGGCTACGCAGCAGGGGACGTTAGTCCTGCTGGTTGGTGGCAGAAGTAGGAAGTAGGAGTGAGTTAGGCGGAGCAACGGCAGTGGAAGGAACTGGAGGCGCTACTGGCCTCCTTTTTTTAAACACCCTCCCAGACTCTGCCCTTAGCCAGCATTTCCCTAGCTTCGGGTACTACCCCCTCTCTGCCCCGCAAGCTCTTCAACGCATCTGTTGCCTGGGAACACTGCACGTGTGTGCTTAACTCCACGTGGGTTCCTTGGCTGCCTTTCAGCACGCTTCCACTCTTACTGAGATGCTTGGTTGTAATAATTCCCTTATCACTGTATTCTCCTCAAGTTGTTCTGCCTATGCCACTAGCTTAGAATGTCTTCATATCTAAGATCCTTTTACTGGGTAAAGAGTAGGTCATTATTCTTTCCAAGGCCAATCCAGCAGCTGAGCTTTTGATCACGTCTCATTGCTTTCCAACTCTTCTAACTCTTCATCAGATTCATCCTGCGCAGTGCTGTCAGTCATCTTACTAAAACATCTTTTTGGATTGTGTCATTTTCCTATTCAAACACCTCCAGTGGCCATCCATTGACCACTCAGTGGATTCTAAGTCCCTGACAAGGTGTTCAGTATCTTACCTTGTTCGGCACTAATCCAGCTGTATTTTCCAGAACTGTACTAGAAAACACTTTCTCCTACTGCTCTGTATCTGGGCTCTTCAGTTTTCTCTAACACATTGCATATGTTGTTTGTGCATCACTTATGATAGGTCTTTGCCTCATTTCTGTCTCCTGAACTGTTTTGAAGACTTGGCCACTTCTTGCATTATGCCTTTACTGATTATTCTAGACAACAGTGATTTTTTCTTTCTTCCTTTTCACTCTTACAGCTCTTTATTTGTACTAGCTGTTTCGTTTATTCAACAATCAGTATTGATTATGTGCCTACTATGTGCTTGACACTGTTCTAATTGTGAGATAATCAGTGAATAAGGCTGACAGGGTTCTTGTTCTCATGGAGCAAACATTCTAATTGGGGGAGGTATACAATAAATAGTGAAGAAAATTATTAGACAGAAATGCTATTCAGAAAATTAAATAGGATTTTGTGAAAAATAGTGGCTTGCTGGTTCCTTTGGATTATTGGTCAAGGAAGACCTCTTTGAGGATGTTATTGAGGAAGTACTGATGTAATCAACAGGAACAGTTGGCACAAAGGAACTGAAGAAAGCCAGTGAAGCTGGATTATAGTGGATAATGGGAAAAAGGTACAAGATAAATTTGGAGAATAGACAGAGTCCAGGATCTTAGAAGTCTTCGGAAGCCAGGGTAAGTAATTTGGATTTTATTATAAATGTGATTAGAGGGTTTAAAAAGGGGTCGTGATATGATTTAATTTACCCTTTAAATCATCATTCTGGCTACTCTGTGGAGAACGGACTATAGTGGACTAGTAATAGAAGCAGAGATTAGAGACCTTCACAGTGTATAAGAATTTCTGGAATGGACGTCCTAAAGTAGAGGTGACAAAAGGACAGCAGGA